GCTGGTCCGCGGAGCGCTGCGCGACGCGGGCGTCCGGAGCCTGGGCCCGCAAGGTTAAGGGAACGGGTCACGCGGCCTCGGTGCCTAACGGAATCCTCCGCCTGGAGCGAGACCTGAGTCCGGAGTGATTTCATTTTCTCAGGTGGTCGTGTGTTTTGCAACTTGTTCGAGCCCAGGGTTTGAACCTAGAGTCGTTGTGCCATAGGTAAGTTACAGAACCGCAAGGAAGGCGATGTATTTGCTAGGTTTAGCTTGTGTTCTAATCAGCTTTAGTATGCAGGATCGTCGTCGTAGTGAATATCCCGTTCTCTCCCTCTCTCTTTTTTTTTTTTTTTTTTTTTTTTTTTTTGGTCTTTTGCTTATTGCCTCAATACTGTGAGTTGCAGCTCGTCAGCCGCCCCGCCAAGGACGGTGATCCTGGTGGCCTGCTGTTTCCCTCTGCCCCGGCCGGGCTGGTCAGCCTCCCCGTGAGAGGAGGGCTCACGTGCCGGGCCACTTCACCCGGTGGTCGCAGGTGATTTCTCCCAGCCTCCGGTAGGTTGTGGGCCGGACTGTTCGCCTGCCCCGGGACGTCCCTGCGTCTCCACCCGCGCCCCCGCCTTACCCCTCCGTGTTCTGGGACCCCAGTTTTGCCAGCAGAGAGACAAGAGTCGCCCTACCGTAGTTGCGCCTGGTGAATCTGAGCGCCAGGGTGTTTCGGGACTCTTGTGTGCTTCAATCTGTTCTATCTTGCAGGCGCTTTATTTGCTTTCTGTGACAAAATTTACATAGTGAAAATGTCCATTCAGGCTGCTTTTATCTTTCTTTTGAATTGCTTGCAAATGCCTCCCTCGACTATAATTTCTATTTCCATTATTTTAAAATTATAACAACTACAGCATTGATTTATCTAGGAGTCAGTTCACAGCTGGCTTGCTGGGACAAGTATGGAGATAATATTTACAGAAAAATGTGACAATTTGGTAAGGCTGGAGAATAGTTAAAATTCAGACTGCAAGGCAGGTGTGGTGAGACATGCCTGTAATCCCAGCACTGCACTCCTGGAGGCTGAGGCAGGAGGGCCACAAGTTCAAGCAAAGCCTGGGCAACTTAAGTGACCAAGAAAGACGGCCTCAAAATAAAAAACAAAAGAGGCCGGAAAGGCAGCTTAGTGCAAAGGCCCTCGGGTTCAATACCCATACTGAAAATAAAAATGAGGCCGCAGAAATAGAAGTGTTTGTACAAATAGAAACCTGCCTGTTTGTAGTCTTTTTCAGGTCATTAGTTTCCAGGCAGTGCAGGTGCACCTGAGCAGAACAGCCATGAGAGCCAGTCAGAAGGACTTTGACATTGCGGTGCATCGGGTGAAACTCTTAAAGGAGGATCCAGGCAATGATGCAAAGCTAAAACTCTATGCGCTGTATAAACAGGTAAGAGTCCCAGGTTAGCAGCTAGAGTGTGTGCTTGGTTTGCTGATAATAGAAATTAAAACTAAAGCCACAGTGTGACAGACGCTCTCATTGAAAAGGGAGACCCTAAGGAAGCCTGCAGCTAGGTAGGATCCGACTGGCCCCCAAAGAGGCAAGGGGCTGGGGATTCACCGAGGTGGGCTGGGCCGCTCAGTCGTTAGCCCTGTTTGGGTGGTTACACAGCAGGAGCAGTTCTTGTGGCTTGAGGGGCATTTTGTTCCCTTGGAATGATTGCCCGTTGGCGGTGGTCTCTGTCCCGTGAGGCTCTGAGGACCAGGTGACTGCTAGTTCAGAACACCAGCTGCAGACCTCTGGGTGTCCTCCCAGCCCCCTGGATGTGTGAGGCTGGTGACCCTACGTCCCTCTGACTCCTGAAAGTTCTTTTAGTTGTGCTTATCTTGGTGTCTTTCACCCTGAAAGGGAATGGGCTAAGGTTGTAAATTTAAGGCTAATCTGGGGGCAACCCTGTCTCAGGGTCCCTGTTCGAACCCCACCTGTATGCTGCCCAGCAGCCAGTCTTGCCCCGAGGAGCCAGACCCGCTGCTACTTTATTCTCCCCGATCTGGGGTGTGTGTGCGTGTGTGTGAACAGGAAAGGACAGGGACACCGTGTCAGCTCAGCAGGCAGGCAGCGGGGCGCTCACCACCAGCAGGCAGAGGAACCGAGGCCCTGGCTCACCTTGCTTTTATTCACCCAAACCCGGCTCCGAGCAATCAAAGTAACAGGAGGTCCACCTGCTTCCCAGGATCGTAGTAGTTCTCAGGGGAACACCTGCACCTCAGCTGTCCTAACTCTTCCCTCCTCTGCAATATGTGGTCACCCTGAGGGCAGCCCTCCTCCTTCCCGCTAACAGAGGCGGCCATTTGGGCCTCAGTGCTCCTCCCGTCCTGACACCAGTCAGCCCTCTCCTGCCAACTCTTAGACAGATATTCTCCAGAGGACTGTCGGGGAACAAAGCTGAGAAGCGTTTGATCAGGTTTTTGAAATGAAATTTAAGCTGTGTTCTATTTTAGTCATGTTTATGAAATGTATACTAAGTAGGAGTGAAATGGGATGAGATTTGAGATTCATGAGAGAGAGCAAAGTCAGGCAGAATTTGGTGATTGTTCAGTGTGAGTGAGTGGGTATTGGCAATGCATTATAATGTTATGATAGAGAACACTTTAATAGCAAAAAAACCCTAGGAAATGTCACCATGTAAGATAACTTCTGCCCTTTGCTCTGTTTAGTTCAGAATTAACTAGCACGGGAGCCATCTAGTGTCCCTTTTAACCTCTCTGACCAGACTCTTCCTCTTCCCCTGGGCTAGAATAGATAACTAAATGAGTTTTAAAGATAACCTCCCCTACTAAAGAAGTGCTACTTCCAGGTTGAAATTCAACTGCCTCACCACTGTGTTTTGAATATTAGCCATGTGAATTCTGAAAATGCAATGTCACCACCTGAATGAGATCAAGGCTGTAAAACCCTATAAAAGGAGGAGTGTAACCCAGTGCGTGGTGGATCCAGGCATGGCTTATGTGCGATCGGCCCTTGTTGGTGATTAAATTTGTTATTCTACTTCCATTCTGCTGCCTCTCTGTGTGTCACTTGCCAATTCCTTCCATAACAGTTACACTTTGGTGTAAATTTGAAATTTTTTTATAACATAATTAGAAACCAGCACTTTTAAGTTGTAACACCACAGACTTCCCTGGCATGCCCGTCACGCTGGACTCCTTGATCTGCTTTCTGTTAGATGGATGTGCTGAGCTGGCTGTTCCACTCTGGTGGATGCCTGGGGTAAAGAAGTAAGCCTTGCCCTGAAGGCTTGGCCCTCAGGTTTTGGAGGTGAGCTCGAGCTCTAGCTGTCCTGCTGATAGCACCTGCTTTGCCTGGATCATCTGCCCAGAAACCACACAGGCCCCAGGACCCTGTCCATCAGGTGGGGCCCTGGAAAAACGGCCCTGAGGCGGGCTTGGGCTTCTTGAGGGACAGGACTTCCTGCGTCATGCTGTGCCCCCATGTGAAGAGCAGGACAGCAGCGTCACCACCTGGGCTTTTCCCTTAACTGTCTGTCCTGTATGCTTTTCCCTGGGCTGGTTTTAATCTGTATGCTCCTCCTGTAAGAAACAGACCCTGAGTAAAGCTGGGTGGGGTAGGCTGGGGCTCTTGGAGTCTCCCTAGTGGATGATGGAGCCGCCACCGCCATAGCCCGAAGGTGATGCTTGGGTGGTTAACTCTTGCAGGGTGTGTCTGGAGAAAACTGTAGTCTCCTTTGCTGCCTTTATTTTTTAGAGCCCCCTCTTCTTCCTTCTGTTAGCTAACTGTGTACTGAAAATGGAATTTTTGTTTGTTTGTTTGTTTGTTTTTTTGTACCAGGGATAGAACTGAGGACCTTGTGCTGGCCAGGCAGGTGCATTGCCACTGAGCTAAACTCCTGGCCCCTATGGAGACATTTTTTAATGGAGTTTTAAATTGTCTTTCCTGAAAAGTGGCTCAGTGAAATATTTTACTCAAGACATTCCACCTACCCTCGAGTAAAATTTCATCCTTTTTGCTTTCATGGACATATCCTTTAGGTTTCTCACGGCTCGAGGTTCTAACAGCCCACCTGCCTCCACCAGCTGTGGTTCTGTGATGAGGTTACCACCATCCACCCCTGAAGTAGTGTTGTTTTTTCCTACCCTTGGGTCAGCTTTTGGAATCTACTGTGGGCTTCCACGTTTATTAACTGGCTCCTTTTGAAAACTGGTTGAATATTTGGATTATGAAAATGTGATGACTGATAGAGAATGAACTCTTAGAGGGTTAGCGTGTACTTTTCCAAGCCTTTCTTTGGCGTCATTCCCATAGTAAGGCATTTATAACTAACTTTAGTAACTGCTAGCCTATGGCTTCCTTTGTGGGCCAGTCTTTTTCTGTTTGTGCATTTCCAGCAACACCAGAGGATGTGGGGAAAGTTGAGCTCATTCTAGGTACCCCAGGAAAGAATTTGTGGAAGGCATTTGCACTAGTTTTGGATTTTATGGATCTTAAATACTTAGGGCCCTGGCATGCGTTGACATTTGACCAACCGTTCTCTTCTCCACAGGCCACAGAAGGACCTTGTAATGTGCCCAAACCAAGTGTGTTCAACTTCATCGGCAAGGCCAAGTGGGATGCGTGGAATGCCCTTGGCAGACTGCCCAAGGTCAGTTTACTTGTCATTGTGCTCGTCTTTTCTTTCTTTATCTGCTAGAATTCTGAAGAGCTTTGTGTCTCATCAAGCCCTTGTCAGTGGAGCCTTTGAAACCCTGAAGCCTCTACTGAATCAAACCCTCAGTTGTTTTTTTGCAAGGTGCTATTTATTAACATAGTGTATTTCTCAAGATGCTTATTCAGCGGTGATGGCTGAAGCTCTTTGTCGGCTGCTCCTCAGGAAACTGCCCAGCAGAACTATGTGGAATTTGTGTCCTGCTTGAGTCCTTCCTGGGAATCCTCTAGCCAGGCGGGACCGGGAGCCAGCGGGAGCTGGCCTGAGTCTGAACACGTGGTAGTGACCTCCAAAGACGGCATCACAACGATCACATTAAACCGACCGACCAAAAAAAATGCCATCACCATTCAGGTAATGCTGCCTGTCCTAGGAGTAACTCTGGTTCTCCTTTTCTTTCCCTGTATTTCACTCCAAAGATTGTCACTTCAGCATTATTCCTATTTTTGTGATATCTCCGGTTTGATTGTGCAAGATGATGAGTAATCCTGGCCGCTTAGTTTACAATCGGACATTCTCTAGTCAGAATGTGTGGATTTCAGGTAGCTTCTGCACACCCAAAACGTGCTGTGCACATGTGTAAATACCGAATAGTTTCTCTGGTGTGAATAATCTGCAATAATACAGAAGATCCTAATAAGATTATACTGACATTGAGAAATGGGAAGAAAGGAGCTAAAGGTGTAGGGAAGGTGGGACGGGTAGGGGAAGGGTGAAAAGGGAAAAGAAAAAAAATGTGAGATAATGAAAAGATGGAAATAAAGTGGTTGTAGATGGGGAGGGGAGGAGAGGGTGAAGGGAGGTCAGGGACAAGGGGAAAAAATGAGAACCAAGACTTGTCATGTAGAGGTACAAGATCCCAACAATGAATATAACTGTACTGTATCCCTAAAATGTATCAATAAACTCAATTAAAGCTGAAAAAAAAAAACATGCTGTGGCTCCTACAAATGGAAACACAAATCAGTTAATATAAATGAAATATCTGTCAGTAACAAGAGAACATGCAGAGAGACCTCTAAGATTGATAGAAGCTGTCAGACTTGCACCTGAGTCTTTTCTGCTCTGATAGAGCTTTATTTTGTGCATGTAGAGAGAAAATGGAGCTACGGATTTCATCTTCCGTAATGCATAACCCAGCTCTGCTTTGAGTGAGTTGCTTCACAGTGCATCATGGAACAATACACTGAGATGATGAAAATCTAAGCACCAAAGCCCTTTCTCTTGAAGTAAATAGCAGGGAAGTCATCAGAGCTGAGGCTGAGCTGGGAGTCGAGTTCAAGATGACTATGATAGCTGGATTTCTAATCAGCCAGCAGTATAGAGGAGAAAAGCACCGTGACCCAAAGTATTCCTAAGTCAGAAATGTGTAAATTTGGATGTCTGCTGTCCAATTGATAAAACATGTCATTCTCCAGACTCTGATTCTGTCTGCTCTGACCCATTTCTGTGTAACTGTGGCAGTAAGAGCTGCTCTTCTTGTCAGGCCTGACTTACGTGAGTCCTTCACAAGCACACGAGACAAGGCAAACAGGCTGCTTTCAGCAAACAGCAGCAGCTCGTCTGTAAACAGGGCAAATGGACTCAAAGGAAGCACATTCTGCCCTGGTGCCCAGAGGTCTGGCGACTGTGCACACAGGTGAGCAGACGCCCTTGGCGTCCAAGTCCATAAACACTTCTGCCAGACTCCTGGGCCCTTCGGTACCTGTGTAAGCCTATTCCCGTCCCGGTTAGCTGCTGTCTCTCCCCTGGTGTCAGCCCATCCACATATGGATGTAGTAAACTTGGCTTGTCCCAGCTGGCTGCTGGAATCTCCTGGTTTTAGTCCCCATTTACTGGTAAAAACTTTCCTTTCAAAAGCTTATTTTTGACAAGTGGTTCTTTATGACACTTCTCAGGGTTCCTAATAAATGCCAGTGCTTTCTGCACAGAGGCTTCATTTTTACAAGAAGCCTGTGACTATTGTTTAACCTTAAAAGCAGTTAAGAAGTAACTTGCTCAAGCTCAAATAGCAAATCAATTTGAAAACCTAGATCCAAGCTCTGATATGTCCCCTGCTAACCCTGACTCTTGCCTCTCAGCTTGCCGTGCTGTATCATTACTACTGTAATAACAATGAAATTACTTCCTCGATGGAAATGATTACACCTTTATTCGTCTGTTATGTGAAGTCCATACTTTGATTTCCTTAGTGTCTTTACACCCATACATATAAGCCCTCTTCCTCACTCTTTCCTGCATGGGGTTCTCACCCTCAGGTAGAAACTGCCTATTTTAAAAGCTGTAGCAACATGTCGAAGGGTGTCAGGAGTGCCGCTCATTTGACATTTGGAAGCCTTTACCCGTGAACGCTGTCATAGCACTTTGGAAATCCCAGCCTTTGGGGGTTAACCCTTCCCAGACTTCCTGGGACACTGGTTCTTTCTTGAGGTCATGACTGAGATAGGTATTGCTTCATGGAAAGTTTTCCCTGCCACCTCCAGCCCTAGAAATCCTCAGCAACTCTGAAGAGCTTGTGCTGCTTCGTATTTTTCACCCCCAGCCCCATATTTAAGCAAAATCATCTCTCTTGTTTCTGAAAGTTCAAAGACCGTTTGTTTTTCACTCACTTGTGGAAGAAAGCAGTTACTACCCCTCTGCTCCTACCAGAGCACCTGGCACATGATATGCGCAGTAATTTTAGAGGGAGTAAACGTGCTTTCAGGTGTATCGATCTACCGTTTTGGTTATTAAAGTGCAAATGATGTGTTTGCCAGACTGAGGTAGTGAATCCATTTGGTGACAGCCCTTATCTTGTGTTCTTTTCTTTTCTTCCTCTTCCTCTTTGTGCAGATGTACCACGATATTATACTTGCACTTAAAGCTGCAAGCAAGGATAACTCAGCCATGACTGTTATTACAGGTAAGACACTTTTTCTTAAATTCCTGTTTATGAGGATTCTCTTATTAGATATGTAATTGAGTGAAAAAGCTTGGAGATCTTTTCCAGTATGGCATGCTTTAATTTATAAATGTGTAATAATATAATAAGCACAGAATAGCTACTCTCTGATAATTCCCCAAGGTAAAGTATAAATCCCCCAAGCTCAGACTTATACTAGAACAGTCATGGAGGCTTGATTCTCAATAGCCAAGACAAAGGGATGAAGAAAGAAATTGTTGGCTGTTCATGCAGTAGAATTCTACTGAGCAATCAAAAGGAACAGGTAACTGATATGCACAAGAACATGGACGAGTCTGTAAGACATAGTTCAGCAAAGCAAGTCCAACACAGGAGGGTCCATATTGTCTAGCTCAGTCTGCTCAGAGTTCTGCAATGGGCCAGAGCTCTACTCTGCAAGTCTGCAGGGGATGGTTTTGGGGCAAGTGGGGAAATGGCTAGAAGAGAGCCTTGTGCTGGGATGGTAGAAATGCTCTGTCCGGGAGCTGCCCTCATGGGGGTTTGGTTTCAGTTAAATGTGGGCAACCTAGGTCTGAAAATCTCAAATGGAAAATTCCAGAAAAGAAACAGTTCATAAAGTTCTAAATAACTTGTTTTTACATAGTTTTTTAAAAATTGATTGCTCTTGTTACTCTCTTACCCAGTTTATGGATTAAACTTTGTTAAAGGTGTGTGTGAGTAATTGTCCCCCCATTCCATGACACAGGATGCCCACAGAGTCCAGAACCCACAAGTGCCCAAGTCTCTTCATTAAAAGGGCGTGGTATTAGCATGGATATTGCACTGGCAATGTTTCTTGTATTGTCTAGGAAATAATGACAAGGAAAAAAGTTTCTTCAGTACAGATACAATTTTTTTTTCCAAATATTTTTGGTTTGTTGGGTCAATGAATGCAAAACCTTAGGATACAGAGTGCCAGCTCTGGAAGAAAATACACAGTAGGGCCGGGGGTTTGTCTCAGTGGTTCTTATGCCTGCCTTGCAAGTGCAAGGGCTGTGTTCAATCCCCGGTACCACACACACAAAAAAAGAAAATGCATATCCTGAGGCTCTTGGTGCTACTCTAAGGTTACAGGCCTGCATGGAAGGTTTGGACAGAGCCTTCAGTATGGGGGGAACCCCTGCTCTGGATGGTGATTGTGCAGGTATTTGCAGTGATCAGAATTCATTTCAGTGAACATTTAAGAACTGGTGGCTTCATTATATGTAAATTATCCTTTAATACCCCCCCATGGCTTCACTGGCTCTTAAAGATAAAACATTTTCTTTTGTTGTTTTGTTTTGTTTGCTGAGATGGGATCTGGCCAGTGGGTAGGTTGCTGTGTAGCTCAGGTTGACTTCAAACTCACAGTCCTCCTGGCTTGGTCTGATGAGTGCTGGAGTTACAGACATGCGCTGTCACACCTGACTGAAGGCAAAACTTCTTCGTGGGGTCTAGAAAGCCCCACGTGGCCAATCCTGCCCATCCTCATTCTGCACCGCCTGGCTCTTCTTTCTGCACCGTGGTGGGTCTTCTTTCAGTCAGTGAAGTACACAGGGGATTCCCCCTACATAGAACCTTTGCCCATGCTGTTCTCTTGACACAGATAATTCTTCCCACTGCTCCTTTTCCAGACAGCTGTAGCTCTTCTTCATGTCTCAGTACAATTGTCCCTTCTTCAGCAGAGTTCATCCCTGAACTTCCAAATTGAACCAAATCCCTGTTACACACTCATGTCTTCCTGCACCTCTCTTTTGTGTCATAGTTAAATCATCTACACTTACTCGAAGTTTTAAAGTCAGTGTAAAGGGCTGGGGCTGCAGCTCAGGTAGAGCACTTGCTTAGTATATGCAAGGCCTTGAGAAAAAAAAATAGAAGGTGTGGGGACGTGGGAGGAAGCGGGAGGAGGAGGATGAGCTGGAGGAGGAAGATCACTCCGTGAAGTCACTGTCTAGCTAGCTAACGTGCTGGTCTGTAAGTTAGGGCAAGAACCATGGTCGATTCACCCTGTATTTCAGGTGCCCACATAGAGCTGGGCACAGAGTAGACGCTCGATAGTCACAGAATGAGTGAGAACATGAGTGAGTGGTGGATCTGCTGGTTTTGTTTTTGGCAGGAAATGGTGACTATTACAGCAGTGGGAATGATCTGACTAACTTCACTAAGTTTGCCTCGGATGATTTAGAGAAGCTATCTGAAGACAGCGCCAATATACTGAGGTAAGAGCGACATTGTCAGATCCCTGTGGGCTCATTCTTAGGCTTCCAAGTAATACTTGGTTGAGCAGAAGTGAAATAACTCTTCTGTGGCTTGATGAAGTTCATAGGACCGTGGCCAGCCATGTCTCTCCAGACTCCATCAATAGGGGGCCTTCATTTATGACTCCAGCTTCTGTTACTGATCAGCCTGCCAGCCTCTGTGAGATCAACCAGAAGGCGTTGATGAACCAGAGGTGTTGATAAAATCCATTGAGAGAGGAAATTTGAAAATTCTCTTCCAGTCAGGGGACCAGATGACCTCAGTGAATGGGGTCATAGGAGATTTGAAGTAGTGTTAAAAAATGCAGAAGGGGGCCAGGGATTTGGCTCAGTGGTTCCAGTGCCTGCCTTGCAAGCGCAAGGGCCCAAGCATGATCCCCAGTACCAACAACAACAACAACAACAAAAAAAAAACAAGGAATTCACGAAGGGTTTGCCCTTATGATCTTGGTGACCTCACCAAGTCTCTTGACTCCCACTGTCCCGTGGGGTGCAGGCTGTACTTTGTCACCCACCCCGGTCTCTGAGGCCTCAGCCAGAAGGCAGCCCAGAACTCACTGCCCAGAAAGCAGGGTGTAAATATGACTCAGGGCACAGCCTTCCATTCCAGGCCATTCAATGGGTGTCATGGATGGACCTGGCTTGAAGGAGGCCAGGGTTCCTCAGATCTAACCTGACTACCTTGCACTTCAGGAATGCAGCTTTGAAACAGTTAATGGATTTCTGTTTCCTTTCCTGTAGGAATTTTGTAGGCACTTTTATAGATTTCCCTAAGCCTCTGGTTGCAGTGGTGAATGGTCCAGCGGTGGGGATCTCCGTCACCCTTCTTGGGCTGTTTGATGCTGTATATGCATCCGACAGGGTAAGTCAGCTCCCAGAACTGGAAGAGACCAGGCAGGCAGCGTGAAAATGGCTTCTTCCTTATTGTTGCTAGGAGTAAATGGATTACATGTGGTTTGTCGTAGAATGGACTATAGTTAGTTTTCTCAGAGAATTTGCCCAATTTCACAGACTTTATTTTTCCTTCATCATTAACTGGAATTTTCCTGAGCACCAATATTGTTTTGGACACTGTCCTAACTCTGATCATTACATGTGCTAATTAAGGATAGTCGCTCAGTTTTCAATTTTTACGGTACTCAAAAATACTCAAGAGACACTTGAAAGCTTTTTATGGGAGAGGAGATTGCATTTTGGTAGGTTATGCAAGTGGATTATTCAATCCTTTTTCTCAGTTAAGAATAAAAGGGGCTATGATCATCATCCTCACTACCTCCTTTGCAGATAAGAAAACCAAAGCTCTGAAAAAGTCCTTGCCCACAACACAGTTCCAGCCTTATGTTCACCATTGGATTATTTTGATTTTTATTCTTACAGCAATATGTCTCTTGTCATAGCAGAAAATAAATTTAGAAAAATATGGAAGAGTACAAAGGAAAAGTTTGAAAGATCACTCCATGGTAGGCTGCTGCCCAGAGGTAGGGTGCTTCCCTAGCATATGCAAGGTCTGAGCTCTGTCCCCAGCACCACCACCTCCAGAACCACTCCAAGCTGAGGGACAGGGTATAGGCAGAGGTGGGCTAGGTGACACACAGTAATAGTATATGAGTTTGAAGGATCCAGTGTACAGTACAAAGACTGAAGTTACCATTGTGTGGGGTTCAGGGTGTTTAGCTGTTCTTGTAGAGGACTGATGGTGATTACAAGAGATGATAGATTTGTTCTTCCTCCACTATGGCAACCATTTTGTTTTATGTTATGTTGTATACTTTAGATGTACACACTAAAATGTATCTTTGTAAAATGACTCCTTATTTCAGCACTCAGGGACAACCATTACACCAGCCTTTGGTTATGGAGCTTCTCTAACTTAGCATGTCCTGAGTGCTGGAACCCAAAGATGTTTGCAGTTTTTGTCAGTAGAAGCAAAGTCCTGATGAACAAACATTTGTCGTAGAACTTTGCCCTTAGAATATTTGCTACCAACCTAATAACCATGCTGGGGTTGTCAGATTCTCCAGGTGACTTTTGTTCAGGCAGTAGTAAAATTTGTAATCTACAAGCTTGTGAGAAACATTTGTTTGTTTTTTAACCACTGAAGAGATTCTTAGGACTCATCATTGATTTCACGAATACCATGTTAAACCATGGGTTCATATAGAACCCATGTAAGGAAAACACTAGTGCATTGTATCCATCCTTTGATTATGAGCTGTGGCTCATAATGCCTCTTCGCTTCCCATCATCAAATAGTCCTTTCTCCATGAGTGTCTTTACAAGGTAGGAAATATAAAAGTAAATACTCTTGTGATTACTGTACACTAGGCTCTGCTAGTACAGGTCACACGGATTCTCATAATGCACACGGCAGCCCTGTGAGCTTGGTACTCAGACCCATTTTACTGATGAAACTGGCAGGCCAGGTAAGACCCTTTCCCCAGATCATGGAGGACTCTGAGTCCAGGGCCTAAACCGACCCACTGCTCAGTCACTGGAAGTAAACATCTCAGATGCTGCCCCTTGTCAGCTCTGTGTGTACCTGACTGTGGGTGGCATTTCTTCTTCATTTTCTGGTTCTATTCCTTAGGCTTTAACTTCTCAGCGTATTTTCCTGAATAAGCTCTCTTTGGGGGGGGGGGGGGAAAACATTAATGGGAGAATTTTATTTGGTATTTTTATTTATATGCAGCATTCATTATATATCTTAACAAATAGCTATAATACAGTGTCTAACTATAGTAAGTGAAATCTGAATAGTGTTGTGTGTATTACTAGTTATAAGTTAATTGTCTTCCATAGGATTTATCATCAAAACACACACAAAAATATATCTTAAACCAAATGGGAAATAATTATATCCTAAATAACCAATATCAAAGTTGATTCTATCATCTAAAGCCAATCAAAACATCTCTAGGGCAAAATCAAGACAAAAGATTGAAGAAACAGTTTTTCAACTAATAGAACAAAGGCGAATCTCCTTAAAATATTTTAAAGTATAGCTACAGAGCAATACATTCATGACCTAATGTGGAAGTGGGCAGTGGAGAAGAATACCTAGCCCAAAGAAAGTATAGCAGATCTTAAAACCATAGAAGAAGCCAGGCATGGTGGTTGTTATTAGTCACTTTCCATTACGGGGCCAAAATACCTGATTCCACAGCTTAGAAGAGGGGAGCTTTGACTCATAATTTCAGAGGGTTCAGGCCATGGTTGGCCGGCTCTAAAGCAGAAATGGCATGGTAGAAGGCATGGCAGAGGAAAGCTGCCCAACCCATGGCAGCCAGGAGGCAGTGAGAAGGGAGGAGCTGGGGACAGGAACACACCCTTCCGGTCCCTGTGGAATGACTGCCTCTTCAGGCCGGGTGCCAGCTCTCAAGAGCACATTCAGCTTGAACTCATCAGTGGGTCAGTCCACTGCCTGGCACCCCCCACGGTCCAGTCATCTTTCCAAAGGGTCATTTCTGAGCACCTGAGACACTGATGGAGACGTCTGAGATCTAAACCATAATGGGGGTGCGCACCTATAATCTCAGCACCCAGGAGGCTGAGACGGGAAGACAAGTTTGAGGCCAGTCTCAAAACTTTAAAAGGCTAGGGTGTGGCTTAGAATTAAACACCCCTGCCTTCAGTCTCCAGTCCTGGGGGAGAGAAGAGGAAGAAAAGAAAGTGTAGAAAGATAATTCACAGACCAGAAAAATTATTTTCATGATACTTACCTGGTAAAGCACATATAACCTGAATATATAAAAATACTCTTACTGCTCAATAGGAGGGTAAAGTCTAACTGAAAAACCAGTGGGTAGAATATTTTAATAGTTATTTCACCAAAGAAGATGGACACATGGTTCATAAGTACATGAAAAGATGCCTGCCATCGTGAACCAGTAGGTACATACAACACAAACCATGCTGAGAAACTATTACATGCCCACTAACAGGGTTAAAGTTTAAGAATCAGTAATCAAGTGTAGCGTGGATGTGGAGCAGATGGGACCCTCCTACGACCCTGGTAGGAATGTCAGATGGTGCAGCTGACTTTGGGAAAGAGTGTCACAGCTTTTTCTAAGTTAAACGGACATTTTACACAGCAATTCCAGTCCTGGATCGGTGCACAAGAAATTGAAGACAGGTTAACCTGGAGCCTTGCACACATGCTACAGCCTTTTTGGGTTGTAGAATTATCTGAAAAAGATTTTGATTTTTTTTTTTCAGCTTCATTGAAGTATAATTGGAAATAAGAATTACATATGTTAAACTCAGTGTGTTTTTACTGGGCTTACTCAGAATAGTAGGAGCGATACAGTGGTCTTGACTGGCAAGTGGATAAGCGAATTATGATCCAGCCCTACAGTGGATCACTGTGGAGCATTAGCATGGAGCGAGCTGTTAGCCTGACCCTCAGAACCCTTATGCTAGACCCAGAGGGCTGGCGAAGGCAGGATCCCATTTGTAGAACATTGTAGAACAGAGGAGCTGCAGGAATGAAAGCAGAAAGTGGACAGCACAGGGATGGTGGGAAGGAAGGGATAATCACAGACCAGGAGAACGTCGTGGGATGACAGAAATGCTCTGTCTGGCTCGTGGAGGTGGCTGCATAACCATAGTTGTTAAAACTCAGTGAACAGACTCTCTGTAAAGGGTGAATTTCGTGGGCATATTATACTACATACTCGTGAGGTTTTTGAAGTTATGATTAAATGGGTGATTTTTACAAACCAGGCATTAAAAGATGGTTTTCTTTTCTTCTCCCACCCTACACAGGCAACGTTTCACACGCCTTTTACTAGTCTCGGCCAAACCCCAGAAGGATGCTCCTCTTATACTTTCCCAAAGATAATGGGCCCAGCCAAGGTAACTGACTGGAAGCTTAAAAATAAAAATGAATCATGTCTCATCTCCCATTGAAATCTAACCCCGTGCCCTCCCTTCCTTGCCTTGCCAAGATGGACAAAAAGAGAAGCTATTATTTGGTCTCCACACAGGAGGTGGTTTTTTTTTGGTTTTTTTTGTTTTTGTGACAGGGTCTCATTATGTAGTTGAGACGGCCCTTGACCTGAAACTCACTATGTAGCCCAGGCTAGTCTCAAACTCACAGTGATCCTCCTGCCTCAGCCTCCTGAGTGCTGGGATTACAGGTGTGCACCACCACGCCCAGCTCACACTAAGAGTTTTATGTGTCTGGTCTGTGGGAAAATTAGAAATTCTCCGAGTCCCCAGACAGCAGCGCTGCTCTTTCTACTGGGTGTCTGGTGCTTCCTGTGCTGTAAGAAGCAAGGCCCTCGTCCTCCACAGCGTGAGTGGCAGAGTGGTGCCAGCCTTCCTCAGTCACCTGAGCTCAGGGTCCCTTTGTGATGAGCCGCAGTGACTGAAGATGATGTGCATCTCTAGCCCCAGCTCTCACCCCCATCCTGTGTGTCCCTTTTCCCTCTTGTAATCAGTGGTATACTTAAAGCCACGGCTGCTGTGGGTGCTGGTCACATCTCCTCCCCAGGCTCCCCATTCTTGTTTTGCCTACGTAGACCTGATGGAAGCAGTCCCTCTTCTGGCCCTTCAGAGATGCTGGAGCCTGGGATGGGCTCAGCACAGTGTGAAAACTGTTCATTGAGTTCATCAGCTGCTCCTTAGAATGAAATACAAGCAACCACAAAAGACTCCCAGCAGGTCCCGCTGCTTCCAGAAAGCAGTCCATTCTGAAATTAACAGAAGCCTTGTTTTATGAACTTAGTGCCTTAACCCTGCTTTTCTTTTCAGGCAGCTGAGATGCTTATTTTTGGGAAGAAGATAACAGCAAGAGAGGCATGTGCTCAAGGCCTCGTTACTGAAGTTTTTCCCGACAGCACTTTCCAGAGAGACGTTTGGACCAGGTTGAAAGCATATGCCAAGAACCCTCCAAATGTTAGTATAGCATTGACCTTTTCCTTGTGGAAACCATGGAAATAATTTCCTAAGGGGCGAATGTATTTGCCATAGGAGAGTAAGTCATACAAAAAGACAAGGCAAGCTGGGCATGGTGGTGCACAGCTGTAACCCAGCACTTGACAGACTGAGGCAGGAAGATCACCATGTGAGTTCAAGGCCAGCCTGGGCTATGTAGTGAGTTTAAGACCAGCCCAAACTTCGCAGCAAGACCCTGTCTCAAAAAACAAAACAAAAAAACGTACTGTTCTTAGCCTTTGAGCACATCTAAATATGAGTGTAAAAATAACTATGATAAGATTGGGAATACTGATTCTTATAAAACTTGTCACATGGACCTTTATGTCTGTCCTAGAAAGGCAGAGGGCAGTGCTTTATGGGGATAAGTTGTAGAGGCCAGTCGGCAGTGTTGGCTGAGTGCTTCTGCTTTGAATTTCGGGGGAGTGAGGAGAGTCGTGCTGGATGGCACTTTGATTTTGATATGTGCTGATAAGAGGCTGGTTGCACTTAGGCATATGTCCTTAGTATTTGACATGGTCCTGGAACCAGAAGCCTTAGTGTCCACCTGGGGATTTTAGAAATGTGTAGTCACAGGTCTGCCCTGCCCCTTCTGAGACGACTCGCATGCACATCAGTGGCTAAGAAGCCCTCTCTGCAATCATACACGTACGTCTTAAGAATGAACAGGTTTGGGCTGAGGATACAGCTGTGCGGCACTGCACCTGCCTGGAAGTGCAAGGTCCTGAGTTCAGTCCCTGATACCGGGGGAAAAGAATCAAAGAAGAGATCTCACAGAATTAGCAGGTTTAGTTAATGAGCATTGAAGAAACGAGTCCGAATCTGAAACACCGCACTCTTATATTCTATAAATCACCAGTGACCCTTTGTGGGTTGTGTCTTATCAGGCAATGAGCCGTGGAAAGCAGTTAATCAGAAGCAGCGAGAAGGAGAAGCTGCACGCTGTCAACGCTGAAGAGTGCAGAGTGGGGCGGGAAAGTTGGTTGTCCACGGAGTGCACCACTGCCCTCCAGAACTTCCTCTCCAGAAAAGCACGGCTGTGAGGACTGCGACAGCCCCGTGCCCCTGGAATGCTGCTCACTCCGGTCTCCAATACTTCATGAAGTAAACATCACTGTGCCTTATTAAGATGCTCAGACAACAATTATATACTATTGCGCTTACAGCCCTAATGAGTAAAAACTTCCTAAAAGAATTCGCACAGCCTTTTGGTGATAGAAAATCTTACGTCCTTTGCCATGAATCGCTGTTGCCAGGAGCACTGGAGTGTGGAGCCAGGGACCTTGCTATGAAAAGCACTCACAGCTTTGCAAGCAGAGTTTATGTCGCTGAACACCACGATGGCACTTTGGCGTCCACAGGCAGTGACTGACTGGATCGGGCCGAACGCTGACAGCAAATCCATCACTGACTTGAGGTCCTCGGTGGGGTGCAGGTTCTTCTTCAGCCACCTGGCAAAGAAGCAAATGCAAGGGACAAATTACTATGAAACAATCTTAATTTTTCTTTTTTTCACAATTTTAATAAATGTGAGAGGAATAATGGGTCATTTCATTGGAAAGCAATGCGGCTTATTTGTAACATAAAGACCTGGCTCTTGTATGACCCGGTTTCTAAGAAGCATAACTGCAAGCTGCCATTACTGTCTGTGACTTCCTGTTTTGATTATTCCTTTGTCACTTGACAAGAACCAGGGGCGCAATTCCAAGGGATATGAAATTAGCGTGGGGTATTTTGCTTACCTAAATGGTGTTCCTTCATCAAACTACATTCCCACCCTTTATTTTTTTAAGTTTTGAGACCAGGTCTTGCTAAGTTGCCAGGGCTGGGCTTGAATTTGTGATCCTCCTGGCTCAGCCTCGCAGAGTGCTTTGGACTACAGATCTGCACCATCACTGCTGGCAAAATGCTGTTCTTTTCTGATTTCTTCTTCAAGCATCAGCTTCCAGGTAACAAACTCGTCAAACTCTTAGCATTTTAGTTCTTAATTATTTTATCCTGGTAATCTTAATCCAAAATATTCAGTCTTACAGGAAATATATGCATGGAAATAACCATGTATGTTTATTGAACACTTGTTATGTCTAGGTTAATGCCCATAACTATATTTTACCCTGCAAAAAAATGATGCCAGAAATGGCAAATGAAGTAGATACTGTTGGCTTTTACAAGTTGGGATCCTAAGACAAAGAAATGGAAGTGAGTTCACAAATGGAAACAAAGACCCCAGAAGGGAGAAGTTTAACTTGATTCATGCATTAATTATATACACATGTATTGAAACATCACTTGTTACCCCTTTAATATGTACATATTTATGTTTGATTAAACATTTTATGTTTAAAGTCCAGGCACAGAGTCCCAGTGTCACTATGACAGCATAAACCAACTATTGTCTATCCCACCCAGTAATTACAACTAAAATCCCTGAACAAAGTATGCAAAAGAGCTACTTGAGGATGCTGAGTGTTGGATTGTGGAAAGACACCAAGATACAGAGGCAGGTGCATGCATGTGATTGACACAGACTACGAGGAGCAAGGGCAGGCTTCCTCCTGAGCCTGAGACTTTTCCCCGAGTGCAGCAGCAGAGCAGTGACCACGGCAGAGCCAGCTAACATAAGTGGAGGGAAATAAAAACATCTTTCAGGCCAGGCAAAGGTCTCTCTGGGAGCTCAAGGGTGAGAGAAGAGAATCCCAGAGCAGGGAGAGAAATAACTTCAACTTATTCTGTGTATGAACCCATGTTGGTCTTGGTTCATGATCAGGAGAGATGCAAAACTACAGAGCAAAAGCTTTGAGCATCAAGCTGGGATTTTAGCCTCACCCACAAGAAGGAAATCGAGGCAGCTGCTTGGCTGATTCAAGCCAGGTTGACTGTTTGCTACAACAAAAAAGCATTCTCCAGTGATTGTAATGTGATCCTGAACAGCATCTTCATCCTACAGATGATTGTGACGTTCAAGGTACAGTCCCAAATTATGTGACATACAAAATCCTTGAAAATTGAACATTTCTCTGGCAAAAAAAAAAAGATACCATGTCAGTCCGGAGGTGACTCAGATATCAGAATTGTCACACAGCTATAAAGACAGGTCTTGCAACCATGTTCCACACTGTCAAGAGAGTCGCATTTGAAATGATGAAATATGCATGCATTTTTTTTTCAGCAGATAAATACAAACCAAAAGAGAATGAAGCAAATTTTAGAATGGAAAATCTGAGGATTCATTGGAGAGACATAGAAATCACTATTAACCGCCAGGCATGATGGCATGCGCCTGAAATCCCAGCACTCAGAAGGCTGAGACAGGAGGATCACTGCAAGTTTGAAACCAGCCTGGGCTACACAGTGAATTCCAGAGCAGTCTGAACTACATAGTGAAACCCTGTCTTAAAAAAAAAAAAAAAGAAAAGAAAAGAAATCACTGTCAGATTAGATGATGGGAGAGTCAGTGAACCCAGAAGAGCAACGGAAATCAACACAGACGTGGAAAAGGAAATATTGTGGGGCAAGTGAAGCAAACATGATATCAGCATTTAGCAAACAGGAAGTTGCAGGCCCTGTTTCCCCATGCAAATATCAGATAAACAGCTACAGACTGAAATTACTTTGTAGGAGCTCTGGAAATGGGTTAAACACCTGCAAATAAATAAATTCGCAAACAAAAGCTCACACTGAAAACAGTAGGAGGTCTTTTTAATTTACTGCTGCCCCCCCCCACATGCCTTTGAAGAGATTCAGATTCGGAAAGAACTGGCCTGAGACCCTGGGGGTGGTTAGGGTTTCCGTGCAAGGAAAGGAGAGGCCAGGGGTCAGGTTGTGGTTCCTCGGGAATCTGGACCAGTCCTGGCCTCTGTGCGCGGTACCTGGAGAATCGCAGGTGCCTGAAGGCACAGAGAGGTCGCTGACGGAAGAACCCAGAACTGGGCAAACTGTACCATGTTCTCCCATCCCCAGATGACTGAGACCGAGGCTCAGAAACCATGACAGTGGTCTTTGTCCACCTTATTCGCTGGAGTTGGCCTGTGTGAACTTTGGCCGTCTCTAGAGTCAAAGTGACAGCGCACGGTAAACGCTTCGAATCTAAGGCCTGGAGGCAGCCACGACAGTGCAGCTAAAGACACTCAGGAAAAAACTGCCAGAGCTACTTCGGAGTGGCCAGGGTGATAGGAGAAGTTTGTTCAAAGATGGGGGAGTGTTAGGAGGGAGGATACACAACAATGTGTCTTTTGTGGCCATAAAATTTTACTATATTTTTCAGTTATACCTTGTGGACAACACTAATCAGCAAACCAGCTATATTCTTATTTTTTAAATTTCCATCTGTAGTTCTATAAAACACAAAACACCTAATAATAAATATAATAAAAGATGTCCAAGACTGCTTCGCTGAAAACTACAAAACATTGCTGTGGAGAAATTAAAGAGCAGACAAGCTGCTCTGTCCACGAATTGGAAGACCCCTTACTGAGATGGCAGCTCGTCCCTGTCAACCTCTGTTCCATGGATCCATTCCCAACCACACTGTGGTAAGCTTGTGCAGAAACTGAAACATCGACTGTCCGGGTCTGTCTGTGCTCTGCGGTGTGCACACAAGGACGAGCTTGCCTGCTCCCTAACACGCAACCATGAGTGAAAATGGAATGTGCTGAGCTGCGTGTGTATGAGGAAGGAGGAGTTTAAAGAACTGGCTCATGTGTTGTTGCGGCCGACAGGGCGGGTGTGTGCAGGGCTGGCCGGCGGGCTGGAAATTCCAGCGGGGGTCCATCTCACAGACGTGGATCCAAAGTCAGTCTAGAAGCACAATTCCTTCCGCAGGGGACCTCAGTATTTCTTCATAAAGCTTTTGTCTGATTGAGTGAGGCCTTTCACGATATGGAAGGCCACCTGCTTTACTCCAAAGATACTGATTTAGTGTTAATTTCACCTGAAAAATACCTTCAGAGCAACATGTAGGCTGGTGTTCGACCAAACAACTGGGGCCATACCCCAGAACAGCTGACACATAAGAGTCTGGGGCAGTGACAGGGACCTGCAGTCCCAGCTATCTGGAGGCAAAGGCAGTAGTGTCCCTCGAAGCCAGGAGTTTGGGGCTACCCTGGGCAGCATAGTTTTACTACATCTCAAATGAATGAATAAATAAGCAAACAAACAGCATAGAGAAGATCTGTCCATGATGTTTATTCCAGCCTGGGGGCAAACCCAGAGACCTGGACGGACCATCAACACTGGTGACCCGGAGTGGACTCAGAGTCTGGGGGTGGCTCTGGTCCTGCCTCTGCCGTGTTAGCTGTGCCCTGCCCGGGATGTTGGCCTCTCCTCGCCTTAGTTTCCTTCTCATTTCGCAGGACTGTTGGCTCTGCCTAGAGTTTAGAGCTCTGAACCCTAATGAGTCCCACATGGGTTGAAACAAGTAAGAAAACGGAAGAGGGAAGAGACATGGGAGTCTTTCATTTGGCTACATTTAATCAGGTATATTTTTAAATTTATCTTGTGTTAGCGTGCCGTAGAGGACCTTAAATATTTTTGTTGAATGTCCAGCCTCTAGGTGTTGAGTTTAGAGTAGGGTAGCAAACAGACATTCATTTCCAGTACACCGTGGTAAGTAGGACAAAGATGAATGTTGTACAGAGGGGAGGATTGTGGCTCAGGGACTGGCCCCCAACTCAGGCTTCACTGCGAGTGTCTTTGGTAGAGAGAAGACAGAATAAAATCCTACTGACAGCCCCTGTCTTCAGTTGCTACCACACTGACTTAGAACATTTTTGAATTTGAAATAAAGCCTTTGCATTGAATATTCATCTCTCTCTTGGCTTGTCTGTTTTTGTTATACCTTCCAAAGGAAGGGGAAAGAAAGCCCAGAAGCCCATGAAGATGACATATTAAGCCAATAACTACAGTTTACAGGTAATTATCATTTATATGCAGCATCCAGTAGAGATTTACTATATCATAAAATGGAGGACTGGTACCATGCCAAGTTTTCCAACTGGGATAACCCTCTGCCAGCTATAGCTGTAAACTCTCAGAGAATCAGTGTAACATCCCAGGACTCCTGGCTTTTGAGCCTGCTGGTTTATTTACACAGCATAGAACTGAAGAAACTCTGTCCAAAGCCAGCAGACTTCATGCAAGATCTGACCCTGAAACTGCGATTGTCTTGGGCTATGACTTGAACCTGTGCCCCTGAAGCTCAGGTGTTGGAGCCTTAATCCCTAGTGCCATGGTACTGAGAGGTGGGATATTCCCAGCCCCAGCCAGAGGTCTGAATCTGGGCCTCAGCCATCCAGACTCTCAAAAGTAAGAGATAACCTGCCCACTCTCAAAAGTAAGAGAAAAGATTAAAAAAAAGGAAAAGTGAGTGTTTTCAAAATTTGGCCTAATTGGGAGGGAGAGAAGCTGCACCCCTCTTTGCACCCAGAAGCATTCACTTTATAGGGGGGATAGAACAAAGCATAGAAATGTTCGTGTGTACATTCGCCAGGGAGCACAGAAAAACATTTAAAGTCTGGTTTTCTTACAGCTTCCTGGGCACGGGCTGGGGTGGCAGTTGCCTCTCTTTCGAGCTTCTCCCTTTCAGTGAGTCTTTACGAGGTAGATTGTCAGGATCAACGCCTTTCTGATGCGGTTGGGTTCATTCTCATTCTTGTAGGGCTGCATTATATACTTGAGGAGTGATTATTATGAGGCAAGGCTGCCCCTGTGTTTTACCCCTCTTTCCTACAGGTGCCCACTTGCCCTGTGGACTCATATCACGTTAGGAAGCAGTAGGAGACCCCCGCAGATGCAGCTGATGGATCTTGGGCTTTTGAGCATCTAGAACCATGAGCTTAAATGAGCTTTATGTGTGACCCCACTCTCAGGCAATCTGAGATAGCAGCAGAAAACAAACGAAGAGAGAAAGAAGAAAAAAAAAAGACAAGCGAGAAAGGCTTTGGCTGCTGTGTTCCAGTGGGGGACCCAGCACATATCACACAGACATTTGCCGGCGCAGAGCCAAGGTTAGTTCCTGGAGTTGGCTCAATCTGACATTTTAAAAGAGTTCACTGGGCATTCTTATAATACTCTGTACCTGTCAGAACTCAGTTTCATGAGTCAGTTTTCCGTAATGGGGTCACAGTGCAGGGTGCAATATTATCGGGTCCACTTTACAGATGCCCAGGGACCTAGGAATGTTATGCGTAGCACTTAGACCAGGGCAAAGCTCTTGTTGGTAATATCCCTCGGTGATAGCCAGGCTTTCCCTGGCTGCAGGATACATGCTCCCAAGGGTGCCGGGTCACAAAGGATCAAGAATGACTCAAGCAACCAGAGTTAACAGGTTATCAGGTGACAGTCAGGGTACACCATCGGAACCAGCCAACCCCACTTGGCAGATCCCTTTGGAATCTGGAGTCACAGCAGTCAACAAGGTGTTCCCAATACCATGTTTGCCAAATGGCCCAGGGTGTCCAGCCCTGCCTGTGTCCACAAGCTGTGGGGCAGACTTGGCCACTCCTCCCCGAGGTAGAGCCCATTCCTCATCCCTGGAATCAGCCACAGCCCTCCTCCCTTCCACATGGAGGTTCCCCACCCCCAGGAAACTCTTTGCACTTTCACCCCCAGCTCAGCATTGGATTCTCGGAGACCCCAACCTGCACAGCACTGGGGATACAGAAATGAATAGACGGTCTGGCTTTAAGGAGAGCAGATGAATGCTTGTAGGAGGAAATGTGAAAAGATGTGTGTCGTTTCTTACATCCTGGTGCTCCAGCTATATTTGCAGATGCCAGGGTGAAAAGTAAAACAAAATTCATAGCAAAATAGAGAATGACAATAGTCAGTACACCGTGTATCTTCAGAGTGGCTAAAGTGTTACGCAGGGTACAAGTGACAGGCCAACTGACTCCCACAAAGAAGAAAGAGATAAAAGCACCAAACTTTGTCTTCAGTGGCCTGAGAGAAGCTAGTAGTATAAATGAAACATTAGCACATGCATTAAAGTGCTTTTGAAACAATGGGAGAGCTAATTTGGGGAGCTATTTGAACTTTACTACTTCCTATCTCTCTTCTGTTTTGCTCCTTCTCATATAAGAGAAACCACAAGGGATTTAAGCCCGTGTGTCTGATTTGTTTCACTTCACATTATGTTCTCAAGGTGCATCCATTTACGTAAAATTCCTCAAGTTTATCTTTCTCTGTGGTAGAGCAGTACTCCCTTGTATATAAATATCACATTTTCTTTATCCGTTCATCTGTTGATGGACATATACAGTTTCCAAGGTTTACCTATGAAATTTTGTTTTATTTTGTCATAGAAGTAAAAAGAGTGCTTTTTATATTTGTTTTATTAATATATACTTGTATTACATTAAAATAAAAAAATTAGGATGGAAAGTAAGATGCATCAATTTCATATGAAGATACCATAGCCTGAACCAAACTTATATGGTGGTGAAATTTCAAAGTTTTTAATATACCATGGAGGGCATGATCAAATTTTCTTAACACATGTAATTAGGGATCATTGCTTAAAGTAACTTCTATCCTTCTCTGAATAAAAATCCAGGGTTTTCCCATTGTCCAGAAAACATCATGGTTCTAACCATCACTTCATTTACAAGATAGCTTTATCTTACGTGGCTATAATGTGTGACTTGGATTGGCCAGTGTGGCGTTGGGAACAATGGAGGAGACTTCTCATTCACTAGGACAGTGATCCCAGTGGGAACTTCCCACACAGGCAAATTCACACATATGAACTCTCCCTGTATCTGTTACAATCAAACCAGAAAGGTCTTCACATAACTCCACATTTCTGCTGAAAATCTTCTCTGTGCAGTCATTTGTTAGGCACTGTATAGCAATATAGGCAGCAATAGTAAAGAAACAGGCACCATCTGTCTGGCGTGCCCGTAGAAGTGTACCAAAAAAAACTTAGCCAAGTGACCAAAGCTTATGGCTTTGCCCAAATCTGTCCACTTCCATGTCCCCACTGTACCACCCCATTGGAGTCCCATTCGCCCTCACTTGAGGTCTTCTGCTTCTACTTTGTTTCCCTGGAGGCCACAGAGGATTTGAATGAGACCACGTCAGCCTTCTAGTTGAGGATCTCCAATGTCTCTCCATTTCTCTTGGCGTAAGATCTGGGAAATGAGGACTAAAGCCAAGGTTCTGTGGTGTCGTACCATGGTCTTCTAGCTCCCGATGGTGCCAACAGTGGTTCTGCAGCTTCCCAAATCACACAGCCACAGAGCCCTACCACAGTGGGACTGTGGACCTGTCCCTCTCCAATAATCCCACCGTGGCCCTGCTAGGTCTCTGTTCCAGCCCTGTCTGACTGCAGGAACACAGTCTCCTCCAGCAGCTGGGGGGTGTGCATGTGGCAGGTACACAATTATAGAAAGCGGGGCTTGTTTTCATACTCACTGTGTATCTCAGAGGCCACATTCAGTCATTGTTTGTTTGTTGAGGCAATAAGGGGAACTTTTGACTGCTGTGGATTTCTAAGTATGTCTGTGCAGGACCAAAGTTAGACAGATTACCTGACCACTACGGTGTGCATGGGAGGCTCCTTTGAGTTTCTCTTCCACAAGGGGCATTTCTTCTGCCATTCGCTTGCTGTGTTTACTGCTTTGCTTTTCCATGAGAGCATTCTGCTTGGCTTTGGGGTCAAATTAATCTCTGGTGGGAAGTGATGTCTTTCTAAGATCCTTTCCAAGCCAGACAGGTCAGCTGTCTCACCTGGTAATAGGATAAATATTGATAAACATTGGTTTTCTTCCTAGCTGTGCATGGGAAGAGCTACACTGTGCTGATATGAGAAAGTCTGCTGTCTTACAATTCCTCTTCAGCTCTGTATTTCCTTTATCCCCCAACATTTAGGCCATAGCCTGCTGTTAAACATCTAATGGATGCACTGAGTAAATGAACGAATGGACAGAAGGTGGGGACCACCACAGATACCACATGATTCTCGAGCCAATGGTAAGACACTGTATAACAATAATTACTATTATTGTAATTATTGTTTTCCTTTTTATTGCATACTTACAGATGTGCACTTCAAGGCTTCTCAGAAGAAATGGGGTGGACACTGACACTGTTGTCCATTCCTACCCTGGGGCTCCAATCCTATACTGAGTGATAGCCACAATATAAGAGTTCTGCTTAAAGCAACAATGTGCTTTATCAGTAAGCATCCGGGGGAGTATGACTTATTAATCCTTTCTGATGCCACAAGATTTACCTCTGGCCAAAAGTGAGTTGGTTTTTTCTTAATCTGTTATAAGCATTTCTATTTTTCAACTGTTTCAGTGGAAATCCTTTTCTTATTTTGGAAAGCTCCAATAACAGAACCAGGGAACAGCTCAGAATGGATCGTAGGCTTCTATTAGCCCTCACTGCTCGTCTGGGAGTAATAAGCCCACTTTATAAACCTTGTGTGTTGGGGGAAGTGAGATCCGACAAATCGGTAACCAGAGCCCGGTGTAACTACCCCACCGGTGCTGCTTCTCACAGGAGAAGGAGATGGGAGGTCGCTAAGAGTACCAACTACACAGAGATCACAGAGACTGATCGACTGTGTCACAACCGTGTGCCGATAAAAGTAAAACTGGCAGCAGTAGAAAGAACTGGGAAGATGCTCTTCAAACATCAAGGACCAGGAGGGGTTGGCAAGCAGCTGGTGCTGCTGTCTGAGCCTGAGTCTGATAGGCTGAGGCCATGTGTAAGGATGAGGGCTGACATGCTGAAACCCAAAGGGGAAGGCGGGATTCTGTGCTGCCACGCTTCATGCACATCAAGCCAGATTTAGTCACGCTGGCTGTCGGGGCCCAGTCATGGACCACTGGAGTTTGACATTTGGAAAATAACTTCTTCCTGTATAATTAAGGCATCAACATTTGCTACTTTTCAAGGAAACTGTTTATTGAGCTTGTTTTGATTCTTTGACCCTGACATAACAGGAAACTCGTTAGCCGAAGATCTGATGTTATCTGTAAGAGTCAGGAAATCCGGTCTTTACATAAAGATAAAAACAATTGCTTGGTGTTTTCTGTTGTTGTGTGCCCTTAAAAGCTTCCTGTTGATGTGAACCTATAAAAGGAGCTGTTTCTGTGAAATAAATCAGACTTCTCTTCGGCTCCACTCAGGCTTGAGTGTTCTTTCCTTTCTCAATCCTCACTCCCTGACTCAGGCATGTTCGTGTTGTGACGGCTGGACCACCACAGCTGGCCCAGGTACTTTTGCCTTCAGACATGTCATGGTGTTGTGCATTTATATCACACCCATTGGACCACACTGACCTCAACTGGCTTCTAACTGCATTGCTCACTGGCAGTGAGAGCTTGTAGTAGAACGAAATGCACCATACTGCTTCCTTCATCAAGAGATTTGATGTAAAAAAGCAAGAAAAGAGGAAGGGAGGAAGGAATAAAGGAATGAAGGAAAGGAAGGGAGAGAGGAAAGGGAGGAAGGGAAGAAGAAAGGAAAGAAGAGGTAATGGAAGTAAAGAAGGAGGGAAGGAAGGGAAACCAGCAGAACTACACAGCACTTTGATACAGTTGACTTTTTTTTTTTTTTTTTTTTTTTTTTTTTTTAGTACCGGGGATCAAACTCAGGTCCTTGCACTTGTGAGGCAGGCAGTGGAAACCCTGAGCCCAATCCCTGGCCCTAGAGTTGACTTTTTAAAAGTAAATTTTATTTATTTTATCCCATTCCCACCTTCAATCCCCTCTGCTCCCTACGTACAAAAGCTTTGTTTCAATTTTTTCTATCTTCACTTTTTTTGTCCCGCCCTTCCTTTCTTCTGCCTCCCTTGTTTCCCTTCCCATTTGAGTATTTTCTTCCTGTGGGGATCATGAGTATTGGTTGTAAGTACCGTTAACTCTAGTAACTCCATATGTGTTAAGTTTCTCCAGTTGAGCAGGTAGAGTGTTTCCTTTGTGGAATTCCTGAAAGTTACGGTTTCTTCTCTCTGACCTTTAGATGTGTGGTTGTCCGGGTTACTACTACTCACGGTGGGTTGTTTTGGTGAACCTGTTTGCTCTTTTCCTGTGTGACCTTTCAGTTACTATGGTAAACCCATCCCATAATAGTTTGTGTTTTTTTTGCTTTAAAAGGCCGGTGCTTGCCGGCAATAAACGCCGCCTTGATCAGACTCTTGTCTTGGCGTCCTTCTTTTCTCTCTGCCCCATCTCCACCCCGCTGCTCTTTC